CTAGTAGATTCTTGCAGGTTCTGGAACAGGATATGGGTAGATGCATCAACGCTTGAAACAATGATATGTCAAAAATTTTGAAATGTTTTTACAAAAATAAGTAGATTTTTATGTTTTCCTATACAGCGAAAAATCGGAGTTTGCAATGATATATATTTTTCAACAATTTTTACAAATTTCAATAATACTTCATTCATCATTTTCAATTCCAAAATTGTTTTGACAGTTCATTGTCCCAGCAGCTATGTCGATGTGACTACCTGTATTCTTCTACCATGATACAAACAAAAATGCAAAAAAAAAAATTGTTTTGACAAGGAATTTATTCCACAACAGCTGTATTTTTGCTTCCCTTCACCAAATAAATTATACCCGAAACTACATTTTCTTTATGTCTCTCTTTCACTCTCTCTGTCTATTTCTCTCGGCCAAATAAACTTATGTTTCCTCACAGTTTGATCAAACAGTTTAATGGGAAAATATATTTTACGAATGTGAACATGTGTCAAACATGTTTTCCCATAGCACTGTTTGACGCTGTTTGGTGACTGCTTGAACAAACAAAATCTGTCAAATATTTGACTGTAATGTGAACATCGAATCAACTCTGTATGAATTTCACATTTGTTCAGTCAAATATGGGAAAACAAATTTCGATCAAATATTTGCCCAGTGTGACCGTACTTTAACGCTGTGTCTAAATCATAATGCACCCCACGCACACATTACGTTGCGGGGAGAAACGAAACGTACCTACCTTGTCTTCTCATAAGTATTTTATTTCTCTAATAAAATTATTATTTTCGGCAAAGACAAATAAAAATAAGATAAAAATTTAAAAAAGTACATTCAACACACAAACATCTTCCTTAGGAATGGCTATATATATTAAAATTATATATGTTCCAGTATAAATTAAACTAAGCCGATAATCTACATCGACAATATTAAATCGTTCATACATTTTGGGATTATATTGGTTGTTCCCCGAAGGCAAAGATGTTTTTCCGCCGGAACTGTAATAATCAGGGCTGTCACAGAAACCATGTCGTTTTTGTAAACCAATGTTGGTTTCATTTGGTGTCATGAAACCAAGTTGGTTTTGTCAATTTCGAATGTAAATAAAACCAATGTTCGAAACAGCTGTTGTTGCTTACATGTGTTGTTTGTTTATTTTTCATTGAAATATCAGTAAAAGTAAAGTAAATAAAAAAAGGAATAAGTCGCTATAAATAAAGTAAGATGGCATCAGCAGTGGTAGTTTTTGTGTTGTTGGACGAAGAACGCTCAAAAAAGGTGACGAGAAAAGCTCTTAGAGATTTCAGCAACCCACTGGAGTTGCCGGAGTTGTAAACTTACTCATAAACCTGCTTTGCAGATTTATGGTTTATGGTCCTTTAAAAATTATTTAAAAAATCCTTAAAAAATCCACGTTTATGGTCCTTTAAAAATTATTTAAAAAATCCTTAAAAAAATCCACGTTTATGGTCCTTTAAATATCCTTTAAAAAATCCACGTTTATGGTCCTTTAAAAATTATTTAAAAAATCCTTAAAAAAATCCACGTTTATGGTCCTTTAAAAATTATTTAAAAAATCCTTAAAAAAATCCACGTTTATGGTCCTTTAAATATCCTTTAAAAAATCCACGTTTATGGTCCTTTAAATATCCTTTAAAAAATCCACGTTTATGGTCCTTTAAATATCCTTTAAAAAATCCACGTTTATGGTCCTTTGAATATCCTTTAAAAGTTGTTTAAAAAATCCAAAGCAAATGAAAAGTGACAGCTCTAAGCAACTTGGTTTATTCCCAATAACAAAACCAATAACATTGGCTTCTATGACAACAAAAACCGATAAAATTCTAATTCGAAAATAAAACCAATAACATTGATTTTCATGGCACCAAAGCATTTTTTCTTGTCGTTTTTAAAACCAATAGTGACAAAATTGGTTTCTATGACAGCCCTGAATATCCTTTAAAAATTCTTTAAAAAATCCACGTTTATAGTCCTTTAAAAAATCCACGTTTATAGTCCTTTAAAAATTCCACGTTTATAGTCCTTTAAAAAATCCACGTTTATAGTCCTTTAAAAAATCCACGTTTATAGTCCTTTAAAAATTCCACGTTTATAGTCCTTTAAAAAATCCACGTTTATAGTCCTTTAAAAATTCCACGTTTATAGTCCTTTAAAAAATCCACGTTTATAGTCCTTTAAAAAATCCACGTTTATGGTCCTTTTAATATCCTTTAAAAAATCCACGTTTAAAAAATCCACGTTTATGGTCCTTTTAATATCCTTTAAAAATTCTTTAAAAAAATCCACGTTTATAGTCCTTTAAAAATTCTTTAAAAAAATCCACGTTTATAGTCCTTTAAAAATTCTTTAAAAAAATCCACGTTTATAGTCCTTTAAAAATTCTTTAAAAAAATCCACGTTTATAGTCCTTTAAAAATTCTTTAAAAAAATCCACGTTTATAGTCCTTTAAAAATTCTTTAAAAAAATCCACGTTTATAGTCCTTTAAAAATTCTTTAAAAAAATCCACGTTTATAGTCCTTTAAAAATTCTTTAAAAAAATCCACGTTTATAGTCCTTTAAAAATTCTTTAAAAAAATCCACGTTTATAGTCCTTTAAAAATTCTTTAAAAAAATCCACGTTTATAGTCCTTTAAAAATTCTTTAAAAAAATCCACGTTTATAGTCCTTTAAAAATTCTTTAAAAAAATCCACGTTTATAGTCCTTTAAAAATTCTTTAAAAAAATCCACGTTTATAGTCCTTTAAAAATTCTTTAAAAAAATCCACGTTTATAGTCCTTTAAAAATTCTTTAAAAAAATCCACGTTTATAGTCCTTTAAAAATTCTTTAAAAAAATCCACGTTTATAGCCCTTTAAAAATTCTTTAAAAAAATCCACGTTTATAGTCCTTTAAAAATTCTTTAAAAAAATCCACGTTTATAGTCATTTAAAAATTCTTTAAAAAAATCCACGTTTATAGTCCTTTAAAAATTCTTTAAAAAAATCCACGTTTATAGTCCTTTAAAAATTCTTTAAAAAAATCCACGTTTATAGTCCTTTAAAAATTCTTTAAAAAAATCCACGTTTATAGTCCTTTAAAAATTCTTTAAAAAAATCCACGTTTATAGTCCTTTAAAAATTCTTTAAAAAAATCCACGTTTATAGTCCTTTAAAAAAAGGTAGGTTGATAAAATTGTACACAAATGTGTATTATGTCTGCAGGACTTTTGGTATTGAAAATGGGTCATGTAGGTCCACGTTTTGGTAGAGCCCCCATATCATGATTCCTCCCTTTTTTTAGTATTTTAATGATTTAAGACACATTATTAACCGGAAATGTTTCAAATTTGGTATTTACAGTTCGTAACGGATACTTCAGCTTATGACAGAAAATTGTTTGTGCAGGTCCTCGTCTTTGTACAGCCCCCATAGAACGGTACACCCCGATATTCGGTATTTTGATGATTTTATCGACATTATTCATTGGAATTTTTTCAAGATCGGTACTTGAAGTTCGTAATGGATACTACAGCCTATGACAGAAAATTGTCTGCAGGATTTTAGCGACATTATTTCGGGAATTATTTCAAATTTTGTATTTGAAGTTCGTAATGGATACTGCAGTCTATGACTTTAAATTGTCTGTGCAAGTCCACGTCTTCGTATAGCCCCCATATAAGGTACCTCCCGATATTCGGTATTTTGATGATTTTAGCGACATTATTCACCGGAATTGTTTCAAATGTGCTATTTGAAGTTCGTAATAGATACAACAACAGCCTTCAACAGAACATTGTCGGTGCCGGTCCACGTTTTGGTTTAGCCCCCATATAATGGTACCCTCCTATATTCGGTATTTTGATGATTTTATCGACATTATTCATTGGAATTTTTTTAAGATCGGTACTTGAAGTTCGTAATGGATACTACAGCCTATGCCAGAAAATTGTCTGCGCAGATCCACGTCTACAACAACAGCCTTCGACAGAACATTGTCTGTGCCGGTCCACGTTTTGGTTTAGCCCCCATATAATGGTACCTACCTATATTCGGCATTTTGATGATTTTTAGCCACATTATTCACAGATTTTTTTTTAAATTACTCATTCGGATATTGTAATGGCTAATATAACGGCTAAATTCGGTATTTTTAAGATTTGAACAGAATTTGTAACGGATTAAATATTGCCAAATTTGTTCCAAATAGTGGAGGGTATTCAAAATTCGGCTTTTAAGTTGTTTATTGGTGTCAATGACCGAGCGATAGAATATTACTTAATTTGCAATCTGAGTATTTGTCAGCATTTTTCAAACGTATCTGCTCCCATCGAAAATAAAACTACCTTCAAATAAAATATGGATAATTCTGAATTTATAGGGAGGAATTTATGCTGACATAAAGTACGTTTGAATTATGTGTTGAAATCCACTACATATTTCATATTAAATCTATAAGCCAGTATTAGAAATGCAAAACATCATAATAAGGTAGAGTAGTTAAAACAAACATACCACCACTTATTGTTAATCTAAATAAGTCTTGACAAAAAGGGGTAGCAAAATATTGTAATTGGGGATTCATATACATACATTATTGTACCATTGTAGTAAACCGACCTTCTTTTTGGTCGATTTATAATTCTATAAGTGAATATCATGTAATTTTTATAAAATCTAATTATTTTTTAACAGGCATACTCCTATTTGCTCATTGCCTAAAAAGGTATCGAATGGAATATAATTGATTCTTTTTTTTCTTATTGTATAGGGGTACCAAAATATTGTAATTGGGGATTCATATACTTACATTATTGTACCATTGTAGTAAACCGACCTTTTTGGTCAATTTATAATTCTATAAGTGAATATCATGTAATTTTTATAAAATCTAATTATTTTTTAACAGGCATACTCCTATTTGCTCATTGCCTAAAAAGGTATCGAATGGAATATAATTGATTCTTTTTTTCTTATTGTATAGGGTGCGGGTCATAACGATGTAGAACTTCATCCTCAATATTTTGAACGTCTTAAGAAATTTCTTTCAACAGAATTGTCTAAATGACAACTAAAGAACTGTTCAAATGAAGTAGTCCGTAAGATGATAACGCCAACATTGCCAAAAAGTAATGCTTTCATCTCCCCGGATAGACATAGTCAACCATCATCTAATCAAATTCCAAAACAATTTTCGAATTCGCCTACTCTAAAGCGCGATTTTTTAAACCCGATTTTAAATGAAGAGAAGAAGGCCGATGGTAAGTAATTAATAAAATAGTTAATTAGAATTGTACAATTATACATTACATAAATCGTATTATTAAGGTATTAGATTTTGTAGATAAGTTAAGAAAAATTGTACGTCCGTTTCAATTTTAAGAATATAAATATGAAAATATTGTACATGTCTTACAAATATGGTTATTATAGAAACGTACACTAATAAATAATTATTCAAAAACCCAATTAAATATTTTGTTTTTCTTTCTTGGGTTAAATGGGGTTATTAAAGCACGACATCTGAGCGTTTTCGTTGCTCCCGTGTTCTTTTTTTTTTGTTTTTGTTGATCGTTCCTAACGCCATTCTTACCCGCCTCTGCCGACTGAGCGGCCACCTCCCCATAATGCAGGGAGAGTGTTAGTAATGTTAGGGAACTCTAGTAAATACATAAGTCGGTTAAACAAATAACATATTAATTTAAGAGCATTAGGAATAATTGACACTACAAATGCAACTCTGTAACACATATGGCTGGCATCTACAGCAGAAGACGCAATTTACAATTCTTGATAACATTTATACGAAATACGATTGTACAAGTTGTTCTATATTTCATAAAATAATATGTATTCCAAGGCAGCCCTCTGAGAGCAAATAAGAAATAAACCTGGTGTGTAAATTGAAACGAGGATTAACGAGGAGGAGGATGTTCTCCAAGTAGTTTTATCTTTTACTATTATTTTTTATACGTACTTTTTTATTTGCAGGTTTGCTTTGTGTTTGGTATTTCTCAAATAATTTTGTTTTTTAAGAATTTTACAATTCCACATAACAGAACGTATTTTTTCATATATATTCTTTCTTGTAAAACTATTGTTTAAGAATATTTATTTTTTTTTATAAACTTTCAACTGTTTCAATTTTTTGTTACCTTTTTATGATTAAATGGTCATTTTCTTTCTTTTTCTTATATATATATATATATATATATATATATATAAATATATATATATATATATATATATATATATATATATATATATATATATATATATATATATATATATATATAATATATATATATATATATATATATATATATATATATATATATATATATATATATATATATATATATATATATTAAAATGAATAATATAATGAATCAATTTTCCCGTAACTTTTACTTTGATTATTTTAAAAATTATTTTTAGTTTTATTTTTTTCTTGTGCTTACGCCACTACTTAATTCTTAGACTAACTTAAAAACATAATTTGGAATTTAGTTATTGAGTTAAAATGCTTCCTAGACTTTTACTGTTTCATTTCAGAAATTTTGATTACTCATAAATATTAAAGAGGTTATTTTGAGGTCAGCAGTGGAAATATGCTGGATTTTTATTTAGTTGGGTATAAAAAAATTATTATGAAGAAGCTAGTGCATGAAAAACAGGAAACGCGGTCAGGCTATAGGTGGTATAGGTAATAACAATCCAATATATGCTAATGTTGTCTTGCATAAAACTTCGCAACTATTAAAAAAACTATACCAGAACTTCAAAGTCCGCATAAAATAGCTCGACATGTTAATTGACAAGAAATACAGAAAAGGAGCATAAGGACAACACTAAGAATGAAGATGAGAAGAAAGGAATTTTTATCGGATATAAGTCACATACAATTCTATGTCGATTTAGCGATGTGCGTCCTTCTGTCCGTCCGTCTGTTGAAATCACTCTAGCTTCCAAACGAAATGAGGTAGGTTGATGAAATTTTACTCAAATGTATATTATGTCTGCAGGATTTTTGGTATTGAAAATGGGCCACGTTTTTGTATAGCCCCTACATAACGGTACCTCCCGATATTCGGTATTTCGATAATTTAGCGACATTATTCAATGGAATTGTTTCAAATTCGTTATTTGAAGTTCGTAATGGATATTACAGTCTATGACATAAAATTGTCTGTGCAGGTCCACGTTTTGCTATAGCCACCATATAATGACATTTTGGTGATTTTTAGCCACATTATTCACAGATTTATTTTAAGTCTCGCATCTGAATATTGTAATGGCTTATGGCGAAGTTGCCTATGCAGGTCCACGTCGTCGTAAAGACATTAATATAACGGCAACATTCGGTATTTTTAAGATTTGAACAGAATTTTTAACGAATTATATTTCTTTTGAAAATTGCCAAATTCGTTCCAAATGTCTAAGGGTATTCAAAGTTCGGGTTTTTAACTTGTTTATTTAAGCGATAGAATATTACTCAAATTGCTCCCATCGAAAAGAAAACTACCTTCAAATAAAATATGGATAATTCTGAATTTATAGGGAGGAATTTATGCTGACATAAAGTACGTTTGAATTATGTGTTGAAATCCACTACATATTTCATATTAAATCTATAAGCCAGTATTAGAAATGCAAAACATCATAATAAGGTAGAGTAGTTAAAACAAACATACCACCACTTATTGTTAATCTAAATAAGTCTTGACAAAAAGGGGTACCAAAATATTGTAATTGGGGATTCATATACATACATTATTGTACCATTGTAGTAAACCGACCTTTTTGGTCGATTTATAATTCTATAAGTGAATATCATGTAATTTTTATAAAATCTAATTATTTTTTAACGGGCATACTCCTATTTGCTCATTGCCTAAAAAGGTATCGAATGGAATATAATTGATTCTTTTTTTCTTATTGTATAGGGTGCGGGTCATAACGATGTAGAACTTCATCCTCAATATTTTGAACGTCTTAAGAAATTTCTTTCAACAGAATTGTCTAAATGACAACTAAAGAACTGTTCAAATGAAGTAGTCCGTAAGATGATAACGCCAACATTGCCAAAAAGTAATGCTTTCATCTCCCCGGATAGACATAGTCAACCATCATCTAATCAAATTCCAAAACAATTAAGCTCGTCTCGAAAGAGAAAACAAACACTTAAATTTTCGAATTCGCCTACTCTAAAGCGCGATTTTTTAAACCCGATTTTAAATGAAGGGAAGGAAGTCGATGGTAAGTAATTAATAAAATAGTTAATTAGAATTGTACAATTATACATTATTAAGATTTTGGATTTTGTAGATAAGTTAAAAAAAATTGTACGTCCGTTTCCATTTTAAGAATATAAATATGAAAATATTGTACATTATACGGTATGTCCTACAAATATAGGTATCATATAAACCTGCACTAATAAATAATTTTTCCAAAACCCAATTAAATATTTTGTTTTTCTTTCTTGGGTTAAATGGGGTTATTAAAGCACGACATCTGAGCGATTTTGTTGCTCCCGTGTTTTTTTTATCGTTCCCAACGCCACTCTTACCCGCCCCTGCCGACCGAGGGGCCACCTCCCCATAATGTAGGGAGAGTGTTAGTAATGTTAGGGAACTTCAGTAAATACATAAGCCGGTTACACAGATTACATATTAATTTAAGAGGATTAAGAATAATTGACAATGCAAATGCAACACAGTAGCACATACACCTGGCATCTACAGTTGAAGACGCAATTTAGAGTTCTTGGTAACATTTATACGAAATACGATTGTACAAGTTGCTCTATGTTTCACATAATAATATGTATTCCAAGGCAGCTCTCTGAGAGCAAATAAGATATAAACCCTTATAAATCGCTTTGTTGACACAAGACTCGGTATGTAAATTGAAACGCAGATTAACAACTAAAATAACGACAAGAACAACAGAAGAGTCAACATTATCCAGTTTGTAAGAACCTATTAAATAGTAGTAGGAAAACAGTCGTGATCTATATAGGGATAATTTTTTACACTTTTTGAGATTAAGCGACATTCCGTTAACATCACACCATTTCACAAGATAGTGTAGATAAATTTGTAAATATAAAGCTTGGATGTCTGACTCAATATTACAAAAAAGTTTAACATCGTCTGCAAACATTAAGATTTTAGAAAAGTGAATTACCGATAGAAGATCATTTAAGTAAAGAACAAAAAGCAATGGAGAAATGATAGTTAAAACAAAATGAGTTATTCTTTAGAGAAGATGGAAAAATAAAATAATAAAAGGGAAGGGAAGAAGCGTGAATTTGAAGGAAGGAAGAATCAGAGTGTCGTCCTTAGCCTTTTTAGTCTTCTGGCTAACTAAAGAATTACCGCTCGCTCGGTTTCGGAGAGGGAGGACAAGTCGGGCAGAATTTGCTTACCCAGTAGCCTCTGTCTCACTTCGATAAGAGTTGGGCAGTGGCCTGACAAAGCCTGTAGTATTCAGTATCGCCACTTTGAAGTCATGGCCCTTATGTTGCAGTGTCCCGTAATTAGGCCCACCATAAGCTTAATGTCCGACTTCGTCATGGATATGAGTGTCCTTGATCTCCTTACGGAGTTCACCGGCCAAATCTTTTTGGAAACATTACATCCCCTGTTGAGATCTCTCAAGATGAAGTGTATGCAGTATTTTGAGGAAGTGGCATAAAGGTGGCTTCACTGAGCTCTTAATCTCTAGATCTACTGACTCAGATCCGCGTCTGACCAATTCATCTGTTTGCCAGCAGCTCATTGGCCTTCCTGACAGCAAAAAAAAAAAAAATTGCCTGAAAAACGCTGCAGTTTAGTTGTTTAGTTTGATGGATCTTGGGATACTTAAGCTTTCACAAAAGACCCCTGCTATCGTTCCAATTTCTATCTTTGATCCATCAGTATAGGCAGCTATACCATTAAAAGGTGGAGCTTTGAGGGTCCAGACGTCTCTGTTAGGAATATGGATATCAACTAATTCAAAGCTTTGCCTAGGTGATGTATAATCACTGGCTATAGCCTGATTTCCTATGTTCTCCACATACATGAGAATGGAAGAGTGTTCAAAGGACTGACTCCGCCATTGTCCCAGTTCATTGAGTAGCAGGGCACACCTAGCAGCTTTTTCCTCTACAAATAGACTTAAGGGAACTTGCGGTCGTCGGTTGTCGACGATCAGGAATTACGTAGTTTGTGTTCGGGTGATGAGGGTTGTGACGATTTGAAGATAATCGGGAGTTTGTGGTCGTCGATTGTCGACGATTAGGAATTACAGGGCTTCGGAGACAGATTGGTGACCTGTGGTATATAAGCTAGCAATTCACAGGGGACTTCCTCGGAAGCAGCTGTCCAGGTCTTTGTAGGCGTATTGAGATTCGTTCATGTTTGGCAGCTCGTTAAGGGTGGATTCGGAAACCGATGCGTTTGGCTTTGTAGATAGATAGGGGCTCGTTCAGGTTCGGCAGCTTGGGTTTTGTCATTTGGGTCGTCTACAGGAGCGAGGTAACTAGCTGCGGTTTATAACTACGGCTACTCTACTACCAATATTTGACTATAATACGGAAAAGCGAGCCGAATCTCATGTGTGAATGAATTACCGGCCACTCAACTTAATCAGATCCAGTCTTGGTAAAATTATTCCCGTCTAACGCTTTTGCTAGTCGGAGGACGGCAGATAATTTATAAAATCACTAGCTACCCTTTGGCAAGCCCCTGCAGTAGCAAGCCTTCCCTCATCGCACCTCAAACCGAACAATATATGTGACCGGTCCTACCAAGTCATTGCGAATTATTTGCCTTATGCTGTGAACGGCATACCACCGAAATTTAATTTGTTCACTACACGTCCAACGAATGCTGTGTGGTAATCGGTGCTGTTGTTGTTGATGTTGTAGCAGCTCACACATCTGTGTTCGTTCGGTTTCCATTTTCTGACTCAGTTCAATCTGGTTCTGCCTCTAAGTCCAGTCTCAAAAAGGATGCAACCTGTATGGGTTGTGTCCATAACGAGACTGGAGTTAGGTGAGTAGGCTTGGCTGGGCAGCGAAATAAGTGCAGCGTGTCATGTGGGCCTGTGCCACATGCTGGGCAGATGTTCTGCACTTCGCCGTTGATCCGGGCCCAGTAGGAATTTAGACGGCTGCACCATCCGGATCGTAATTGAGCCAAGACTACTCGGGTTTGTCGGGGCAGCTCTCGTTCTTCAGCTGCGACGGGACAGTATTCACTCTATATCCTTCAATGGCTTCTGAGACCGCATTAGAGTGAATACTATTCAGTCCCGCTTGATAGGCCTGTTGATCTAGAGGCTCTCTCTTATACCTCTGTACCTCTCTCTCTAGATCATGAAGGTCTTTCCTAACGTGCCTGGGCGGAGGTTGCCTATCCACAAGATGGTTATTTGGATGGCTTTGTCTATAACACCCAAGCAGGTATTGCATTGACAGCATTTTGTTATGCTGTCGCACCGGTAAGGCCTTCGCCTCCTCATGTAGGTGATCGACAGGTGTCATGAGAAGGCACCCTGTTGCGGTTCTAAGGGCGGCATTCTGACAGGACTGAACATTTTTCCACTGCGTAGCACTGACGTTAGCGGACCACACTGGAGCCGCATAGTTTACCACAGACCGGCCTATCGCCTTGTAAGAGGTCAACAAGGTTTCCTTATCAGCTCCCCAAGTACTGCCGGCCAGAGACTTGAGGACCTTGTTCCTACTTCTAATCTTGTCGCAGATAGCTGTGGTATGCGCGGACGACTTAAAGAGGCTATCGAATGTGACCCCTAAAACCTTGGGGTAGTTGGTGGTCGGAATAATAGCACCATCGACCTGCACATTCAAGGATAGCCCCATCTCCGCAGTCCATGTGGTGAAAAGTGTGGCCGTCGACTTAGTGGCGGATATCTTCATATTCCTCGCAGTGAAAAATGCGGTAAGATCAACAAGGTAAGCGTTCAACCGATGGCAAATGTCATCAATAATGGGTCCGGACGCCACGAGCGTACAATCATCTGCGTACGTGATAATCTCTATGCCGTCTGGAGGGCGTGGAATTTCAGAAAGGTAGAGGTTAAATAGTTCCGGAGATATCACCCCACCTTGGGGAACTCCCTGTTTAACTCTACGGATGCTCGACTTCTTGTTTCTGAATTCCACGTACGACTGGCGTCCACACATGTAGTTTACTATCCAACGTTTCAAACTTGGCCGGAGGGTGGTGCGTTCAATGTCCTCGAACAGTGTGGCATGATTGACTGTATCAAAGGCTTTTGATAAATCAAGTGCCACCATAACTGTTCTATCGCACGGCCTGTTCTGGTTGAGACCTCTACTGACATGTGTGGAAATGGCGTGTAAAGCTGTTGTTGTGCTATGCAATTTTCGGAATCCGTGTTGATGATCGGCTACTGGGAAACACTCTCTTATGCTGGGGAGGAGTAAAGCCTCAAGCGTCTTTGCTACTGGTGACAAAAGTGATATCGGCCTGTAAGAATCACTTTTGCTGGCATCCTTGCCTGGCTTCAGTAGCGGGACCACCCTGCCCATTTTCCAGGCATCGGGAACTACTAGGGTGGCTAACGACAGATTGAGAAGCTTTGTCAGATACTCAACTCCTGGTTCATCCAGTTGCTTCAACATCACCATTGAGATTGCGTCAGGACCAAGCGCTTTGGATGACTTTGCGCTTCTGATGACCTGTGCAACATCTGCCAACGTAAATTGTGGTGGTACCTCCTCGGCTGGAAGGGATCGTACACGGCGTAGTATCCTTCTCTTCGCCCTGTCACTCTCGGGGTGCTCTACAAACTGCCGGTTAAAATAACACGCGCATCTGTCACTTCTACGCCGTTAAATGAGACAGATGTCCGATCGTCCTTTTTTCCAGGGTTCGAAAGCGACTTAACCGTTGCCCACAATTTACTCGTTCCGGTACCGATGTTGCAATGCTTCAGATGTTCTAACCACTTTTTCCGCTTATGCTCACCTACTAACCTGTTTACCTCCAAAGTAAGTTCCCTGACTCTGGGGTTATTAGGGTTAGTACGGCGAAGCTCATCTCGCTCGTTTGCTAATCCCGCTGCCTCTGCTGGGAAATTTGGTCTTATTTCAGGTATTCGACCAGCAGGTATATAGCGAGCGGCTGCAGCTTTGATGATGTCCCGGAAACACCTGTCTGCTACCTGAACATCAGATGGGTTGGGCAGTTCTCTGAAGCGGCGATTGGTATACTCTCTGAATTCTTGCCAATTAGCTTTCCCGTGGTTAAGGAAAGTGCGGCGTTCAGAGTCGATGAAGTCGGGTGGTCTATTGATGGCGATAATAATGGGGAGGTGGTCTGAGCCTAGAGAAATGACTGATTGCCAAGTTACGTCATTCGTCAGACCTGGGGACACGATGGATATGTCCGGAGAACTGTGGCAGTCTCCCCTTATTCTGGTGGGCGCG